ATGGGGATTTGGGGGGGGAAATGGGGATTTTGGGGGAAAAATGTGAATTTCGGGGGGGATAATGGGAATTTTGGGGGGAAAATGGGGATTTTAGAGGGGGGAAATGGGAATTTTGGCTGGGGTTGGGTGTTTGCTGTCCTGGGAATTCCCAGAATTCCTGGAATTCCCATTTTTTTCTGGATGTTTCTGGAATTTTGGGGATTGATGAGAAAATTCCAGCTCTGAACCTTTCCCAAGGTCTGGGAATTCCCAGAATTCCCAGGAAAATCTCAGCTCCAAACCCTTCCCAAACTCTGGGAATTCCAAACCCTTCTGGAAATCTGGGAATTCCTGGAATTCCAAGGAAAATCCCAGCTCCAAACCCTTCCCAAACTCTGGGAATTCCTTGGAAAATCCCTGCTCCAAACCCTTCCAGAACTCCAGGAATTCCCAGAATTCCCAGGAAAATTCCAGCTCCAAACTCTTCCCAAACTCTGGGAATTCTGGGAATTCCCAGGGAAATCTCAGCTCCAAACTCATCCCAAAATCTGGGAATTCCAAACTCTTCTGAAAATCTGGGAATTCCTGGAATTCCTTGGAAAATTCCAGCTCAAAATCCTTCCCAAAATCTTGGAAAATTCCAGCTCAAAATCCTTCCCAAAATTTGGGAATTCTGGGAATTCCAAGGAAAATCCCATTTCCAAACCCTTCCCAAACTCTGGGAATTCCCAGAAAAATCCCATTTCCAAACCCTTCCCAAACTCTGGAAATTCCAAACCCCTTCCCAAAATCCGTGAATTCCCGGAATTCCCAGGAAATTCCCTTTCCAAACCTTTCCCAAACTCTGGGAATTCCAAACCCTTCCCAAAATCTGGGAATTCCTTCCCAAACTCTGGGAATTCCAAACCCTTCCCAAAATCTGGGAATTCCCAGGAAATTCCCATTTCCAAACCCTTCCAGAACTCCAGGAATTCCCAGAATTCCCAGGAAATTCCCTTTCCAAACCCTTCCCAAAATCTGGGAATTCCTGAAATTCCAAGGAAAATTCCCGCTCCAAACCCTTCCCAAACTCTGGGAATTCCCAGGAAATTCCCTTTCCAAACCCTTCCCAAAATCTGGAAATTCCTGGGAAAATCCCATTTCCAGACCCTTCCCAAACTCCAGGAATTCCCGGAATTCCCAGGAAATTCCCTTTCCAAACCTTTCCCAAACTCTGGGAATTCCAAACCCTTCCCAAAATCTGGGAATTCCCAGGAAATTCCCATTCCCAACCCCTTCCCGATCCCCGGGAATTCCGGGAATTTTTGGGATCCGATCCCGGTTTTTTTTCCCGGAATTCCCAGAGCACCAGGAGCGGCTGCTGAGCTCGGAGCTGGAGGCGCTGCCGGCGCTGCTGCTCCCGCTCGCCGGCCACGAGGAATTGTCCCCGCGAGAGACGGAGCGTGAGCGCAGAATCCGCAGCCGGGAACGCTCGGAATTCCTTGGGAATTCCTCGGGAATTCCTTGGGAATGCTCGGGAACGCTTGGGAATTCCTTGGGAATGCTCGGGAATGCTCGGGAATGCTCGGGGATTCCTTGGGAACGCTTGGGAATGCTCGGGAATGCTCGGGAATTCCTTGGGAATGGTCGGGGATTCCTCGGGAATTCCTTGGGAATGCTTGGGAATGCTCGGGAATGCTCGGGAATTCCTTGGGAACGCTCGGGAATTCCTTGGGAATGCTCAGGAATGCTCGGGGATTCCTTGGGAATGCTCGGGGATTCCTTGGGAATGCTCGGGGATTCCTTGGGAATGCTCGGGGATTCCTTGGGAATGATTGGGAATGCTCGGGGATTCCTTGGGAATGCTCGGGGATTCCTTGGGAATGCTCGGGGATTCCTTGGGAACGCTCGGGAACGCTCGGGAATGCTCGGGGATTCCTTGGGAATGCTCGGGGGTTCCTTGGGAATGCTCGGGGATTCCTTGGGAATGCTCGGGAATGCTCGGGGATTCCTTGGGAATTCCTTGGGAATGCTCGGGAATTCCTTGGGAATGCTCGGGGATTCCTTGGGAATGCTCGGGGATTCCTTGGGAATGCTCGGGAATGCTCGGGGATTCCTTGGGAATGCTCGGGAACGCTCGGGAATTCCTTGGGAATGCTCGGGAATGCTCGGGAATTCCTTGGGAATGCTCGGGAATGCTCGGGAATTCCTTGGGAATGCTTGGGAATGCTCGGGAATGCTCGGGAATTCCTTGGGAATGCTCGGGAATGCTCGGGAATGCTCAGGAATTCCTTGGGAATGCTCGGGAATGCTCGGGAATTCCTCGGGAATGCTCGGGAATTCCTTGGGAATGCTTGGGAATGCTCGGGAATGCTCGGGGATTCCTTGGGAACGCTCGGGAACGCTCGGGAATGCTCGGGAATTCCTTGGGAATGCTCGGGGATTCCTTGGGAATGCTCGGGGATTCCTTGGGAATGCTCGGGAATGCTCGGGAATTCCTTGGGAATGCCCGGGAACGCTCGGAATTCCTTGGGAATGCTCGGGGATGCTCGGGAATGCTCGGGAATTCCTTGGGAATTCCTCGGGAATGCTCGGGAATTCCTTGGGAATTCCTTGGGAATGCTCGGGAATTCCTTGGGAATTCCTCGGGAATGCTCGGGAATGCTCGGGAATTCCTCGGGAATGCTCGGGAATTCCTTGGGAATGCTTGGGAATGCTCGGGAATGCTTGGGAATGCTCGGGAATGCTCGGGGATTCCTTGGGAATGCTCGGGAATGCTCGGGAATGCTCAGGAATTCCTTGGGAATTTTTGGGGAATTTTCTGGGAATTTTTTTGGGATTTCTTGGGATTTTTTGGGGAATTTTTGGGAATTTTCTGGGAATTTTTTGGGAATTTTCTGGGATTTTTTTGGGATTTTTTTGGGAATTTTTTTGGAATTTTTGGGGAATTTTGGGGGAATTTTCTGGGAATTTTTTGGGAATTTTTTGGGAATTTTTTTGGAATTTCTTGGGAATTTTTTGGGAATTTTTTGTGGAATTTTTGGGGAATTTTTGGGGATTTTTTGGGGAATTTTCTTAGATTTCCTGAGATTTTTTGGGAATTTTTTTCAGATTTTTTTTGAAATTTTCCTGGATTTTTTTAAGGGTTTTTGGGAATTTTTTGGGATTTTTTGAGGTTTTTTGGGAATTTTCCTGGCTTTCTTGACAATTTTTTGGGAATATTCCCAGATTTCCTGAGGCTTTTTGGGATTTTTTTGGAATTTTCCTGGATTTCTTGAGGTTTTTTGGGATTTTTTGGGAATTTTCCTGGATTTTTTGAGTTTTTTGGGGAAAATTCTCAGATTACCTGAGGCTTTTTGGGAATTTTTTGGGAACATTCCCAGATTTCCTGAGGTTTTTGGGGGGTTTTTTGGGTTTTTTTGGCAAATTCCTGGATTTCCCAAGGTTTTTTGGGAATTTTTTGGGAATATTCCCGGATTTCCTGAGATTTTTTTGGGAATATTCCCAGATTTTTGGGGTTTTTTTTGGGAATTTTTTGGGCACATTCCCAGATTTTTTGAGGTTTTTGGGTTTTTTTGGGATTTTTTGGGATTTTTTGGGCACATTCCGGGATTTTTTGGGGATTTTTTGGGAACATTCCCAGATTTTTTTGAGGTTTTTTTGGGGTTTTTTTTGGAATTTTTTGGGCACATTCCGGGATTTTTTGAGGTTTTTGGGTTTTTTGGGAATTTTTTGGGCACATTCCCAGATTTTTTGAGGTTTTTGGGTTTTTTGGGAATTTTTTGGGAATATTCCAGGATTTTTTGAGGTTTTTGGGAATTTTTGGGGAATTTTTTTGGCATATTCCGGGATTTTTTGGGGTTTTTCAGGAATTTTTTTGGCACATTCCGGGATTTTTTGAGGTTTTTGGGGTTTTTAGGGAATTTTTTTGGCACCTTCTTTTGGGGTTTTTCAGGAATTTTTTTGGCACATTCCGGGATTTTTTGAGGTTTTTGGGGTTTTTAGGGAATTTTTTTGGCACCTTCCGGGATTTTTTGGGGAATTTTTGGGGAATTTTTTGGGCACATTCCGGGATTTTTTGAGGTTTTTGGGAATTTTTGGGGATTTTTTGGGCACATTCCAGGATTTTTTGAGGTTTTTGGGAATTTTTTGGGCACATTCCAGGATTTTTTGAGGTTTTTGGGAATTTTTTTGGCACATCCCCAGATTTTTTGAGATTTTTGTGGTTTTTTTGGGATTTTTTTGGCACATTCTGGGATTTTTTGAGGTTTTGGGAATTTTTGGGGAATTTTTGTGAACATTCCCAGATTTTTGGGGAATTTTTTGGGCACATTCCAGGATTATGTGAGGTTTTTGGGGATTTTGGGGGATTTTCTGGGAACATCGCCAGCTTTTTTGAGTTTTTTTGGGATTTTTTGGGAATTTTTAGGCACATTCCGGGATTTTTTGAGGTTTTTGGGAATTTTTTGGGCACATTCCCGGATTCCCTGAGGTTTTTGGGAATTTTTGGGGAATTTTTTTGGCACATTCCGGGATTTTTTGGGGTTTTTTGGGAATTTTTTGGGCACATTCCCGGATTTTTTGGGGTTTTTTGGGAATTTTTGGGCACATTCCGGGATTTCCCAAGGTTTTTTTGGGAATTTTTTGGGCACATTCCGGGATTTTTTGGGAATTTTTGGGGAATTTTTTTGGGCACATTCCCGGATTCCCTGATTTTCCTGTGGAATTGCAGAGCTTCCCGTGGATTTGCAGTTCCTGCCCCCGGAGCATCGCCGCGAGGAGGACCCGGAGATCCGGAAAATGATCCTGGAGACGCTGATGTTGGTGCGAATTCCAGAATTTTGGGAACACTTTTGGCGGGAAAAGGAGATTTTTAGGGAATTTTGGGAATTTGGGAGGAATTTGGGGATTTTTTGAGGAATTTTGGGGTTTTTTGGGAATTTTTAGGGGGAATTTTGGGATTTTTTTGTGGAATTCTGGGAATTTTTGGAGGAATTTTGGGAATTTTTGAGGAACTTTGGGATTTTTTTGAGGAATTTTAGGACTTTTTGAGGAATTTTGGGAGGAATTTGGGGATTTTGGGAGGAATTTTGGGATTTTTTTGAGGAGTTTTGGGATTTTTTGAGGAATTTTGGGAATTTTTGAGGAATTCTCTGAGTTTTTGGAGGAATTTTGGGATTTTCTGAGGAGTTCTGGGAATTTTGGGAGGAATTTGGGAATTTTTGAGGAATTTTGGGATTTTTTGTGGAATTTTGGGGTTTTATGGGAATTTTGGGAATTTTTTTGTGGAATTCTGGGAATTTTGGGAGGAGTTTTGAGGATTTTGGGGGAATTTTGGGAGGAATTTTGGGATTTTGGGAGGAATTTTGGAATTTTTTGAGGAATTTAGGGACTTTTTGAGGAATTTTGAGAATTTGGGGAGGAATTTTTAAATTTTTTTGAGGAATTCTGGGATTTTTTTGAGGAATTTTGGGAATTTTGGGAGGAATTTTGAGGAATTTGGGGATTTTTTTGAGGAATTTTGGGATTTTATGAGGAATCTTGGGAATTTTTGAGGAGTTTTTGGAATTCCATGAGGAATTTCAGGAGGAATTTTGGGAATTTTTGAGGAATTTTGGGATTTTTTTGAGGAATTTTGGGAATTTTCTGAGGAGTTTTTGGAATTTTGGGAATTTCAGGAGGAATTTTGGGATTTTTCTGAGGAATTTTGGGATTTTTTGTGGAATTTTGGGAGAAATTTTGAGGAATTTTTGGATTTTCTGAGGAGTTTTTGGGATTTTGGGAATTCTGGGAGGAATTTTGGGTATTTTTTGAAGAAATTTTGGGATTTTTTTGAGGAATTTTGGGAATTTTTGAGGAGTTTTGGGAATTTCAGGAGGAATTTTGGGTTTTTTTGAGGATTTCTGGGAATTTTGGGAGAATTTGGGAACTTTGGGTGGAATTTTGGGAATTTTTTGGGGAATTTTTGGATTTTCTGATGAGTTTTGGGAGTTTTTGAGGAATTTTGGGAAGAATTTTTGAATTTTGGGAGGAATTTTGGGAATTTGCTGTGAAATTTTAGGGATTTGGGAGGAATTTTGGGGTTCCTTGAGGAATTTTGGGAACTTTTTGAGGAATTTTGGGATTTTGGGAGGATTTTCAGGAATTTCATGAGGAATTTTGGGAATTCCGTGAAGAATTTTGGGATTTCGGGAGGAATTTTGGGAATTCCCTGAGGAATTTTGGAGTTTCTTTGAGGAATTTTGGGGGTTCCTGGAGGAATTTTGGGAATTTTATGAGGAATTTTGGGATTTTGGGAGGAATTTGGGGATCCCTTGAGGAATTTTGGGGGTTCCTGGAGGAATTTTGGGATTCCCTGAGGAATTTTGGGATTTTAGGAGGAATTTTGGGATTCCTTGAGGAATTTTGGGGGTTCCTGGAGGAATTTTGGAGTTTCTTTGAGGAATTTTGGGGGTTCCTGGAGGAATTTTGGGATTTTGGGAGGAATTTTGGGATCCCTTGAGGAATTTTGGGGATTTTGGGAGGAATTTTGGAATTTCTTTGAGGAATTTTGGGGGTTCCTGGAGGAATTTTGGGATTCCCTGAGGAATTTTGGGATTTTGGGAGGAATTTTGGGATTTTGGGAGGAATTTGGGGAATTCCATGAGGAATTTTGGAGTTTCTTTGAGGAATTTTGGGGGTTCCTGGAGGAATTTTGGGGTTTCTTTGAAGAATTTTGGGGGTTCCTGGAGGAATTTTGGGAATTCCCTGAGGAATTTTGGGATTTTGGGAGGAATTTTGGGATTTTGGGAGGAATTTTGGGATTTTGGGAGGAATTTTGGAGTTTCTTTGAGGAATTTTGGGAATTTCCTGAGGAATTTTGGGATTCTGGGAGGAATTTTGGGATCCCTTGAGGAATTCCACCCGTTCCACCCCAAATCCCGCTCTCCACCCCCATCTCCTGAAGCTCCAGGAGAACTTCTCCGTGTTCCACCACCCACCACAGAACCCCTTCCTTCTTCTGCGAGATCCCAACAAATCCCAGCTTCCCATTCCCGCCAAAAATTCCCCAAATTCCCGAATTTCCCCAGCTCTCGGCCACCAAATCGGGGCGGTCCCACCTGAGGTCCAACGGTTCCTACCTGGTTCTCCGCGAGCTCCACCAGCAGGAGAAGAACCCCGAGGTCCTCAGCGCCTGCCAGAAGCTCATCGAGGTGAGATCCCGGGAATCCCGGGAATTCCGGGAGTTGCCGAGGCGGGAAGTTGGGATTTTGGCGGGAATTGCGCAGGTGTTGATCGCGGACGAGCCCGAGGTGGGAATGGAGAACCTCCTGGAGGTGACAATTCCAGAGGAGCTGCAGAGGAGGTTCCAGCAGGAGGATGAGGAGGAGGAAGAGCGGAGGAGGAAGCAACGGGAAGAGGAGGAGACGTCGAGGTGACGTCGGAACGGCGCCGGAGGAGACCCTGGGGCCACCAAGGGCCACCACGGGGACAATGGGGTGGTCCTGAAGGTCCTTCATGGGGACAACGGGGTGTCCTTGGGGACCATGGAGCCACCAAGAGCCACCATGGTGACAATGGGGTGTCCTTGGGGACCATGGGGCCACCAAAAGCCACCATGGTGACAATGGGATGGTCCTGAAGGTCCTTCATGGGGACAACGGGGTGTCCTTGGGGACCCTGGGGCCACCAAAAGCCACCACGGGGACAATGGGGTGTCCTTGGGGACCCTGGGGCCACCAAGAGCCACCATGGGGACAATGGGATGGTCCTGAAGGTCCTTCATGGTGACAGTGGGGTGTCCTTGGGGACCATGGTGGCCACCAAAAGCCACCATGGGGACAATGGGCCTGGTCCTGAAGGTCCTTCATGGTGACAATGGGGTGTCCTTGGGGACCCTGGGGCCACCAAAAGCCACCACGGGGACAATGGGGTGGTCCTGAAGGTCCTTCATGGTGACAGTGGGGTGTCCTTGGGGACCCTGGGGCCACCGAGAGCCACCATGGGGACAATGGGATGGTCCTGAAGGTTCTTCATGGTGACTTCAAGGTTGTTCATGGTGACCTAAAGGTCCTTCATGGGGACAACGGGGTGTCCTTGGGGACCCTGGGGCCACCAAGGGCCACCACGGGGACAATGGGGTGTCCTTGGGGACCATGGGGCCACCAAAAGCCACCATGGTGACAGTGGGGTGTCCTTGGGGACCATGGGGCCACCAAGAGCCACCACGGGGACAATGGGGTGGTCCTGAAGGTCCTTCATGGGGACAATGGGGCGTCCTTGGGGACCCTGGGGCCACCAAAAGCCACCACGGGGACAATGGGTTGGTCCTGAAGGTTGTTCATGGTGACTTCAAGGTTGTTCATGGAGACCTAAAGGTCCTTCATGGTGACAATGAGATGTCCCCGAGAATTCTTCATGGTGACTCTGAGCTGTTTCTGAGGGTCCATCAAGGTGACAATGGGGTGGTGGCACCAAAAAGTCACCAAGGTGACAATGAGATGTCCCTGAGGGTTCTTCGTGGTGACAGTGGGGCGTCCTTGGGGACAATGGTGGCACCAAAAGCCACCATGTGACAATGGGCTGGTCCTGAAGGTCCTTCATGGTGACAATGGGGTGTCCTTGGGGACCCTGGGGCCACCAAAAGCCACCACGGGGACAATGGGGTGTCCTTGGGGACCCTGGGGCCACCAAGGGCCACCACGGGGACAATGGGGTGGTCCTGAAGGTCCTTCATGGGGACAATGGGGTTGGGGACCATGGGGCCACCAAAAGCCACCATGGTGACAATGGGGTGTCCTTGGGGACCATGGGGCCACCAAAAGCCACCATGGTGACAATGGGGTGTCCTTGGGGACCATGGGGCTACCAAGAGCCACCATGGGGACAATGGGGTGTCCTTGGGGACCATGGGGCCACCAAGGGCCACCATGGTGACAGTGGGGTGTCCTTGGGGACCATGGGGCCACCAAGAGCCACCACGGGGACAATGGGATGGTCCTGAAGGTTCTTCATGGTGACTTAAAGGTTGTTCATGGTGACTGTGAGCTGTTTCTGAGGGTCTATCATGGTGACAACGGGGTGGTGGCACCAAAAAGTCACCAAGGTGACAATGAGATGTCCCTGAGGGTTCTTCGTGGTGACAGTGGGGC